CTAATAAATGGTCTTTGCCAGACGACGACAAGTTAATTTAGCAAGCATCCGCCATCTCACAGGTGCTATGTTTTACACACCATTTAAAATGTTAAACAAGCTATCTCTGCCTACCAGTGTATCCCAAATATATTTGTATATCATTGGTATTAGTCACGTGGAAGAAGAACGCTACAAACCCAAACAAAAGGAACCTGTAGAAGAAGTTTGAGGATAACAGTCCCTCAGCCTTGAAAGGTGATACCCCGTCCATCATTCTTGATGAATCTAACGAGGATACCCAAGGATTACTTCTCTTGCATCTACTTTAGATTCATCAAGATTGACAGACTAGTATATCCTATCGTGGATGAAGGGATTGACAATCTTATACTACTTCTTCGCCTTCCACAGTATCTAACAGAAAGGTTTTCTTTCTCAGTTCGCCTAGAGTTTTCTCTTTCCCCCCCCCCCAAAAAAAAAAGCTGATATAGCCCAGGTGTGTGTATGTGTGTGTGTGTGCGCGCGCTCGTGTGGGTGTATGACCCACTTAATATTTGTATTTATAACTCATTACAATTGTGACCAAATGTGGACGTACCAGTGGTTCATTACTTTGTAATTTGTTCATGACTGTAACCATGTATAGGAGTGAAGCTGATTCATTACCTTTGTAACTTGCCATGATTGTGACCAGATCTACCTGGAGTTCATTACCTTTGTAACTAGTTCAGCTATCATAACTTTGGGGTCCAGTCCCTGGACCCATTATGTACCTTTGTAATCTTTTGACTACCGCCCACAGGATGGGTATGGGGTGCATAATAAAGATATTAAACTAACTAAACCCAGGATAACCCAGGTAAATCTAGCAGCATGGATTCTTTCTATTTGCGACCTTGAGTCCTTTCCTAGGATGTGACTCACAACAATACACTAACAGAAGCAACTAGTGTTAAGAGACTTGTACATTAGTTTAGCCTCGCCCAAGACTGAGCCCAGGTCCTGTTAGACGGAGTTTGTAACGGTCTGTTCTTATGCGGGGAGTGTGCTGCCCTCTCCTGCTGTGGCTGTAGCTACGTAGTGCTGTCTGATGTAGTGTGCTGCCCTCTCCTGCTGTGGCTGTAGCTACGCAGTGCTGTCTGATGTAGTGTGCTGCCCTCTCCTGCTGTGGCTGTAGCTACGTAGTGCTGTCTGATGTAGTGTGCTGCCCTCTCCTATTGTGGCTGTAGCTACGTAGTGCTGTCTGATGTAGTGTGCTGCCCTCTCCTACTGTGGCTGTAGCTACGTAGTGCTGTCTGATGTAGTGTGCTGCACACTCCTGCTGTGGCTGAAGCTACGTAGTGCTGTCTGATGTAGTGTGCTGCCCTCTCCTACTGTGGCTGTAGCTACGTAGTGCTGTCTGATGTAGTGTGCTGCGCTCTCCTGCTGTGGCTGAAGCAACGTAGTGCTGTCTGATGTAGTGTGCTGCCCTCTCCTACTGTGGCTGTAGCTACGCAGTGCTATCTGATGTAGTGTGCTGCCCTCTCCTGCTGTGGCTGAAGCTACGTAGTGCTGTCTGATATAGTGTGCTGCCCTCTCCTACTGTGGCTGTAGCTACGTAGTGCTATCTGATGTAGTGTGCTGCACTCTCCTGCTGTGGCTGTAGCTACGTAGTGCTGTCTGATATAGTGTGCTGCCCTCTCCTACTGTGGTTGTAGCTACGTAGTGCTGTCTGATGTAGTGTGCTGCCCTCTCCTACTGTGGCTGTAGCTACGTAGTGCTGTCTGATGTAGTGTGCTGCCCTCTCCTACTGTGGCTGAAGCTACATAGTGCTGTCTGATGTAGTGTGCTGCACTCTCCTGCTGTGGCTGTAGCTACGTAGTGCTGTCTGATGTAGTGTGCTGCCCTCTCCTGCTGTGGTTGTAGCTACGTAGTGCTGTCTGATGTAGTGTGCTGCCCTCTCCTGCTGTGGCTGTAGCTACGTAGTGCTGTCTGATGTAGTGTGCTGCCCTCTCCTGTTGTGGCTGTAGCTACGTAGTGCTGTCTGATGTAGTGTGCTGCCCTCTGCTGCTGTGCCTGTAGCTACGTAGTGCTGTCTGATGTAGTGTGCTGCACTCTCCTACTGTGGCTGTAGCTACGTAGTGCTGTCTGATGTAGTGTGCTGTCCGCTCCTGCTGTGGCTGTAGCTACGTAGTGCTGTCTGATGTAGTGTGCTGCCCTCTCCTACTGTGGCTGAAGCTACGTAGTGCTGTCTGATGTAGTGTGCTGCCCGCTCCTACTGTGGCTGTAGCTACGTAGTGCTGTCTGATGTAGTGTGCTGCCCTCTCCTGCTGTGGCTGAAGCTACGTAGTGCTGTCTGATGTAGTGTGCTGCCCTCTCCTGCTGTGGCTGTAGCTACGTAGTGCTGTCTGATGTAGTGTGCTGCCCTCTCCTACTGTGGCTGAAGCTACGTAGTGCTGTCTGATGTAGTGTGCTGCCCGCTCCTACTGTGGCTGTAGCTACGTAGTGCTGTCTGATGTAGTGTGCTGCCCTCTCCTACTGTGGCTGTAGCTACGTAGTGCTGTCTGATGTAGTGTGCTGCCCGCTCCTACTGTGGCTGTAGCTACGTAGTGCTGTCTGATGTAGTGTGCTGCCCGCTCCTACTGTGGCTGTAGCTATGCAGTGCTGTCTGATGTAGTGTGCTGCCCGCTCCTACTGTGGCTGTAGCTACGTAGTGCTGTCTGATGTAGTGTGCTGCCCTCTGCTGCTGTGGCTGTAGCTACGTAGTGCTACAGCCACAGCAGGAATCTTCATAGTGTGTATGAATCTTCACAATGTGTATGAAGCTTCACAATGTGTATGAATCTTCACAGTTAGTTAGTTTAATATGTTTATTATGCACCCCATACCCATCCTGTGGGCGGTAGTCAAAAGATTACAGAGGTACATAATTGGTCCAGGGACTGGACTCCAAAGTTTTGATAGCTGAGCAAGTTACAAAGGTAATGAACTAGATCTGGTCATAATCATGACCAAGTTACAAAGGTAATGAGCTCCAGGTAGAGCTGGTCACTCATGAATAATTGCAAAGGTAATGAATCATAAACACATTAATCATGAGAATTTACAAAGGTAATGAGCTCCAGGTAGAGCTGGTCACAATCATGACAAGTTTCAAAGGTAATGAACGATAAACACGTTATGACATGATTACAATCATAGACAAATTACAGAGTAATGAGCAGTTAACAAACATATTAGGGAATTCAGCCATTGCCCCAACAACAGATGTTGCTAGGTGCCTGTCTCTCCTCGGCAGACAGCCATTGCAAACAGCAGCATCGACCCTCCCCAAGAGGTCCAAGAAGCCAGTGACTCCGTTAGCAGCCCGATGGAGAGCTGTCCTAGGGACATGTCAGTGTCCTGGTGGACGCCAAGTTGATTGAAGATCCCAGGCCCTCGTGTGCACGGATGTTGAAGCTTGAGGAACTGAGTACACACTGCCTGTGGCACACCTGGCAGCTGCCTCGCGGTCGAACTCCACGATACTGTCCCTGGAGTGGAAGTTCCTGTGAGCCCGGCACTCCCTGCAGTGCCATCGCTGACATCGTGGGTTAGGGGAGAAGTACCCTCTATAGATGGGGTGGCGCTGGGAGTTGGGTGGGTGAGGCAGGGGAGACGCGCAGGGGTGAGGCGTTATGAGAGGGTCACTGTTTACTACACACGCCCTCCCCCTCACCCCCAGCGGAGAGGGGGGGGAGGCGCTGACTGGTCCTGACTCTACAACACCAAACCCTCTAAAACTGCACAACACTTCAACTATTTACGCTGAAACGATGCACTGGGATGTCCGTTCGCTGCTCTGGTATCTTCTCAAAGCATTCACACTGAGTTCTGTTAAGTAGGGACCTGGTCAGCCTCTTTGACCAGGAGCTATCCATGAAAATCCCGCAGCTAGCCCGCTACACAACCTGCCGCGTCGGCCATGCCAACAGCTGAGGTGAATCTTCACAGTATATATGAATCTTCACAATGTGTATGACTCTTCACAATGTGTATGAATCTTTGCAATGTGTATGAATCTTCATAGTGTGTATGAATCTTCGCAGTGTGTATGAATCTTCAGTGTGTGTGAATCTTCAGTGTATGAATCTTCGCAGTGTATGAATCTTCGCGGTGTGTATGAAATTTGGAGCCATGAGAGACTGAGTCTATGTGTCACCTACACTAGACCGACACACTCTGGCTGACACATAGACAAGACTGACACATGGAACATGGTCCTGAAAAGACTTAGGCAGTCTGGCTGACACAAACGTTACCAAAGACCTTTCCAAGGGTCTGCCATGATGCTGTAAACGAAATGAAGCTGCCTTTCCCTTCCTTGGAACAATCTTGATTACCTTGCATTTTCCTGGTGTTGAATGAATCCACAAATATAATAATAATATAATAATAATAATAATAATAATAATAATAATAATAATAATCGAACATGAGGATTTTTTTACGTAAATCAGTTGTACAGGCTAAGAGGTGTTATCCTCAGCTCATTTCAAAGCCCAGCCCTATCTGAGGTATATCCCCCTCCCACAGGATGAGACCCACCCCAATCGGCTAGCATCCAGGTACGTATTTGTTAGGTGAACAGGGAGAGCAGGGATTATTTACTGGCGACAGTAATTGTTGTACATAAATAAATAAACATTTATTTGTCCAAAATTTAACAAATATTATTAGTTTTGTAGCTTAAATATGACTTCACCAGGTGTCAGCACCGATCACATGTACATATTTTTTTTACGTTCATCTAATAATCGCGATGCAAAAAAACGCTTCCTAATTATGGACTGAACACATGACAAGTGAACACTTCTGCTTGAGATGTGAACATCGTCACATGAGACGTGAACACCTGAGTGTAGGACTCACCAGCAGACGGTGACGAGGGCTGTACCGGAGACGAGACGTGGATACTGGGACACCAGCTTGAAGACAGACACTGGACCACAGCTCCACTGTACGGTGTCTGGCCTGCTGTTCACGGCACCTGCACACGCCTTCCACCGACCAGTAACAGAAAATTTTTTTTTTTTTTTTTAGATTTTGTCGCCGAAGTGGCTAGTTAGTGTATTGTGCACTCTATATGTCGTGCGGGTTCATTGATGGATTTGGAGTAATAATACACATGTAAGATGTCTTGGTAGTGTATTTTAAGATGATAGGGGAGAGCACTCAGAGTCTTGACCTGTCTCTGCTATATATCGGTTCCAACAGAGGGCAATGGCCGAGGGCACATTTTCAAAGGGTGACTCGTGACGTCACAGCTAGCAGGGCAACAGTGAATCATCAAATCAAATAAAATTTATTCTCTATAAAGATTATAATGTGGGGTTTACATATTATAAGATATTGTGAGGTTTACATATTATAAAATACTAATTCCTGATGATGGACCTATCACACTAGATGGATATTATTATTATTATAATAGAAAAAGAAGCGCTAAGCCACAGGGCCTTTTACAGCGCGGCAGGGTAGGGAAGGAAGCGAGGGTTATTTGGAGGCAGAAGGGAGGAGGGATGATCTGTAGGATACGGAAAACAGCGGGGCAGGGCGATGTACGGGTAGAGGGTAGCAAGGAGATTGAAGTAGAAAAGGGTCATTGGTATCTGAATTTGTGAAGTAAGTCAGTTGTTGTCATAAATGTTTAATGGGAGTATGGATGATAGGTGCGGTCCATAGCGAGATGGGAAAGTAAAGAGAGAGCAGCGGAGCGAAAGACGGACGACGGAGTAATTAATGCGTGCTCGTTGATAAGTGGGCGGGCAGTCCAACAGAATGTGGCTGACTGATAATGGAGCTTGGCAATTCTCACAGTGTGGTGCGGGCGCATCTCCATGGGATATCCATGAGTAGACGAAATATGGACAATGCGAAGCCGGTGAGAGAGTGTCTCCCACCCGACACTCGGTGATAGAAGACGGCCAGTAACCTATACTTGGTTTAATAGATTGAAGTTTGTTTGCGAGCATAGTAGGACCAACGTGTGCCAACGGGTGTGAGGTGGGAGATTTTGCAGCAAAATAGTCCGTAAATGGAAATACCTTCTATATGAAACTGGTAGGTTAATTGTTCTGCTGATCGTGCAGCAAGTGTTGCCTGTTCATTGCCTGTACAGTCAACATGGACGGGACCAACAAAAAACATTATCTTTATGCTTGTAAAAATGCGGCGTAGCCAAGTGGATATGGAGGACTAAGGGGTGAGGTGTATCAAATTGCTGTATAGCCGTAAAGCATAAGGGAGTCTGAGACAACCACAAATGATGACACAGGCACGATGTCATACGGATAAGTGCTGCAAGGATGGCATACCATTTTCAGAAGTAAAAAATACTAAGCCGAAGATAGTAAATGCCCTCGTATGATCTGTTCCGGGAAACACTGCTGCGAATCCTACGCTGTCAGAGCACTTAGAGCAATCTGTGTACACAGCAATGGCATGGAGGAATGAGAGTGAAAGTGGTCAAGAAAAAGAGAGCGGGAAGGGACGTAGACAGGTGGGCTCTTTCAGAAGGGAGTGAGAAAGACAAAGACTCGAAAAAGCTGGGACTTCCAGGCGGTGGTGGTAGGGATAAAAGTGAGCTGTTACATGAACATAGAAAGGTGGTAATTGAAGAGAAGATAAGAGCGAATGAAGGCCAAGGGGGGGGGGGGAAAAAGAGGGGGGAAAAAAATAGGGACGGAAGTAAAACAGGGGTGGCGAAAAATAAAGATGTCTACTAATATCAGTGACCTATTCTATAAATGGAAGGATTGACGAGAGATCATGTGAGGTACATAGTAGCGAAGGCAATGGGCAATCACGGGCGATCGGATAAGGATGGAACGTTCGCTCTGCATAGAGGCTCTCGACAGGGGAAGAGCGAAGATGCACCAAGGCATAAATGTAATACTTGGTGATTGTGCAATGGGGTTTAAGTTAGAGAGAGTAGCAGGAGTTGCCGCCTGTATAGATCTGGTCACCTAATCAAGTTTCGATTAAAAATAAGGGTGGAATGTAGGCGAGGAGGTACGAGATCAGCTCCCCATGAAAGATGAGCTAGGATTTTAAGAAGGTTCAGCTGGCCTGTGACAAGATGCCTTCAGAGAGGTAATGTGAGGTTTTTCCAGGATAACCTACGATCAAAGAGGGAGGCCAGAAACTTGATGTATCCAGTTCAGGGATAACAGGAGCCATGGAGGTACAAAGGTTGATCGGAGATGACAGAGGTATAGGAAAGTAATTTGGTGGGTTTTTAGTGTGGAAATATTATACCCAAGTGTGGTGGCCAGTTGGAATACACGGTCAAACTGCATGCTGGAGAGAAACTGTAATGGGTGACCAGTCTGACAGCCTGCACAGGCAATAGCGAGTCATCAGCATATGAGTTGATGACCAAATAATTGATGGAGACTAGGAGGCCAATCATTTAATAGTGTGTGCCACAGATACACTTCCCTGGAGGGCACTTCCAGCTTGGTTAAAGTCGGTGGGAGAGCACATTATTAACCGAACACGGAAATGCCTGTCAGTTAAATAAGTTCTGAAGGGAGGATGGTAGATTGCTCGAAGGCCTTAAGGAGTGGCTTCTGCCCATAATATTATATCCTCCAGTTGTGTCTATGCCTTTCAAGGTCAAAAAAATATGGCAATAACTATGTGGTTTAATCGCTAAGGTATTACAAAAATACGGTTATCCAAGCATTAGTAAGGGTCTATGGTAGAAGTCCCTTACGAAAGCCATTTGACGAGTGGAGAGATGTTGTGTGTCTCTAAATACCACACTAAACGTTTCTTATTTTACTAGGCGTTCCATCACTTTGCAAACTGCACTGGTAAGAGCCCCAATGGGACGATAGTGGGTGGTTTCAGTTCACGTAGTGTGGTTTGCGAAAAAGGGAGAACAATGGCGGATTCACAGCTGTGATAGAACTCCTTGTGGGGAAACCAAATTAGAGGTAAAGGCGTAATAGGACTGAAAGGGCTGACTGATGTAAATGTTGTAGCATACGAATATGAATGTCATCAGGCCCAGCTCCGATGATCGGAAAAGCTGAGAGTGTTGCCTCCAGTTCTTAAAGTGTAAAAGGCACATTATACTGTTCTTCTCTGAGAGAAGAAAAGTACAAGGGTGCTAACTCTCTGCAGACTTTGAGAAGAAATGAGGGGCATAGATGGAGCCCCTGAGAGATAGGGAAACCAGATGATTCCCAAATTTCATTGGCAACATCTAGTGGGTTTGTATATCAACCCCGGCAACCCGCAGAACAGGAGCCGGGTCAGGAAAATATTTACACTCGTTTTTGTACTTTTTTCCGGGACTGCACTCATAGAGGAAGCAGAGGTGATGGTGGAGAACATAATCTCGCCAGCAAGTGTGTTTAGCATCACGAATGACACGGCGAGCGATTGCACGCTTCTGCTTAAAATCAAGAAGTCTCTCTGTGGTTCTATTGTACTGGTACCTGCCCCATGCAGCGCGTTTCAACGTACTGCATGAGCACAAGCAGGAGACCACCAAGGCACGCATTTTGAGAATGCCTGCCCGAAGTTTGGGGTATAGAATGAGAAGCTGCGGTTAAAAGGGAGGACGAGAAGAGGTGTAAAAGCTCATCGATGGAGGACGAAAAAGGAACCTTCTAAAAACAGTTAGGTGTGAGTAAAGGTTTCCAATTTGCCTGATCAAATTGCCAGCGTGGGATGCGAAGAGGTGGTGAATATGAAGGGGAAGTAAGAATGATTGGGAAAATGATCGTGTCATGTAAGTCTGGGAGAACAGACCAAGGGGAAGTCAAATTTGCGGTGGAGGAAGAGCAGACTGAGAGATCGATGAAAGAGAGAGTGTGAGTCCGAGGACCCAAAATGGGTGTGAGTACCTGTATTAAAATATGGAGGGGGTGGGTGGCAAGAAAAGCCTCTAACTGAATGCCACGGAATCACAGTGAGACTCCCCCAGAGGAAATGGTGGGAAATTAAAATCCCCAAAGTCCCAGAATCGGTGGCGGTAATGACGAAACAAGAAAGGCAATATCCGGAAAGATAATGCCCGAGAAGGAGAGAGAATAAAAAGAACAGAGCGTATACCACCTATGCAAGTGGATACGGGCTGCTGGTATTGCAGCGAAGTACGAACAAATTTAGCTGATGGTACGGAAAAATCAGTGCATGGGAAGAAGGGCACTTTCTTTTAAAGGTTCCATCAGGAAAAGGATCTAAAGGGAATACAATAAATTATAGCCTGAGATGGGAGAGATAACAGCAGAGTGTAATTTTGGTTCCTGTAAGCAAACACCAACAGGGGAAAACTGGGAGAGTACATCTGAACCCTCACCCCGATTACCCCTGGGGGCACGTATATTCCACTGTAAATAGGCCATGATTGGCAATGATAAAGATACCTGAAATCTGCAGGTAAGGGTTCCTATGGACCTAGAGGGGTTAGAAAAAAGTCCACATTCGGAGGCATTTGGGAAAACGTTCAGGCAGTGAAGGAACGGTGTGCTGTGAAGAAAGGAGTTGCGCAGATGGAGCAGAGGAGAGAGAAGGAGTGGAGGGTGGATCCAGTGTTCTTGATGGTTTGGTCTCTGCAATATATTCAGAGATTGCTTCAAGTGTTTTGGAATTCAGAGACGTCGAATGGGAGACAATATTGGAAATGGTAGGGGGGGGATGAGTAAAGATTGGGAACTGTATTGGACTGTACTAAGGTAGGGGGGGGGGGCGAAATGGTGGAGGAAACTGGGAGAAGCGTGGAAGGGGACAGAAGAGCAGAAACCTGGGAGGTGGCAGAAGAGGAAAAAAAACTTGGGAGGGAACAGGGGAGGAAGGTACAGTACGAGGAGGAGGGTGAACCTCTACCTTGTAACAGAGCCAGTGAGAGGGGGAGAACCAGGTACAAAGACAGGGAAGGTAAAATGAGGAGGGGGAAGATGGGTATGAGGTGTTAACAGACCTTTTTTTGGCTTTTTGAGAAGTGAGGGACGATTGGGAGGAGGTGTCATACGAGATCTCGTCG